GTGCTTCCCAGTCTAGAGAGAACTGATTAGCAAGTACTATATTGATGGTAAAATGTATAAATAAAATTACATGAAAGCATGCATACTTGCACACTGAAGGAGACTGAGGGGGGACATGATCCAGGTCTATAAGATTCTAACAGGTTTGGATGCTGTTCAACCGAATAGTTACTTCAGCATTAGTTCAAATACAAGAACTTGTGGCCATAGGTGGAAATTAGCGGGAGAACATTTCAAACTGGATTTAAGGAAGCACTTAAATCTACACAGCGTGTAGTCAGAGTATGGAATAGTCTTCCTGATAACATAGTGCAAGCTGAATTCTTGGGTTCAGAGCTAGATAAGATTTTAACAACTCTGAGCTATTTGTTAAGTTCTCCCCAAGCGAGCTCGATGGGCCGAATGGCCTCCTCTCGTTTGTATAGTTCTTATGTAGAGGGGAGCCACTGAAAAGAAGCGGTTTGTTCGCAAATGTAATGTCACTATGACCCAGCGTTGTGACCCCCAAGCTTGGACAGTAAAATGTTGTAGGCAAAGATAATAATTTCAATGTAGCTGTGCTCATACTTGTGTAAACAGCAAATAAATGGTTCTTTCTTTCTTTTCTTTTCTTTCTTTTTTCTTCAAAGGTTCCTGCGTTGTGTGATTGCATTGAATGTCTTATGAATTAAAATATTTCTTTGAAATTTCTTTGACTTTCTGTCATTTCAATTCAAATCTTAATTCAGCATCCTGTGGGGTGTGGCCAATTCTAGCCAAATTCCAATTCATAAATGAAATAGGGACAATTCATGAATTCTGAACAACCCTGGTACATAATGAGCTAACTGATCAATCTTGCTACTGTATGTATTCAATCACATTCTTTAAGGTGGGATGGTGAATCACGCCTTACTATCAGCAAAGACAATAGCATCTATCTAGAGAATTGAGCCACTCAAGTGGCAACAACATTTGACACTGTGGCATCCAAGAAGCCAAGTTGCTGATTTAAATGCGTCTTTTGTCTATCCAAAATTTAACTTCAACAACATGAACCCCTCGGGCTATCTCAGTAATGAACAATTCATGAAGAATTACAGGATGGCCTGGGGTGAACTAATGAGCCTCCTTGGTCTGTTACAGGGTAAATTGAAAAGAGAAACACCAGAATTTTATGTTATCTCTGCTTTAAGTCCCTTTCTTAATTATCAAATAACAAAGGCTTTTGGGAAACACTTGCAAATATCATTCATTCTTTACCTACATTGTTCATTATTTTGTCCATTATTCGCTAAGATTGTTCATTATCGGGAAACACACTTCTGATCAACAATGCATTAGCAGAATCAGAAGACAGGAAAGATTCTAGAAATCGGTGGTACTCAAAAATAGGCACACAGAAGACATCACCATTATTATAAATAATTAGGGGATATACAGCAGGTTTGGATAATGATGAATAAATCCATGTAACAATCTCATCCCATATTGTTTTGAGGCTGAGCCCCATTAAGGGTCCCATCAGAGACTGGTTCCTCATGTGTAGTAGACAGGGGTGACGGAGGGTCGAGGAAACCCTGGCACCTTCGGGGGGCCTGGAACTTTGTAGGGGCTCCAAACCTTACTGTCAAGAGCCCTGCCCAGAATGTCTACTTACACCCTTGGTAATGTATCAAGTGCATTTGAAATGTTTTTCTCAGTGGGTCTCTACAAGCAGCCGGTGTTCTTAAATCGTAATAATGATCCCATAGTGATAACTCATCACACACCTCTGTAAAACTATCAATGATGCACTAAGAGTGATATACTGTAGTTAAACTATCAGAATTCAGTTCCATCAACTACTGAAACAATAAAGCATAGTGATATTTTATATTTTGTACAGTTTTACTTTGTGTTGTGAAATTTACAAAGTACTCAGGGATATCATAAGTAAATGAATAGAATGCATCAAAATTCAGATGTACAGAAATTCTTTAAACCACACATCTTAAGAAGAAAGTACAAAGTGGTAGACAAACTTCCTTTGTGGATTAGTGGAAGAATCAGTTAGTGTATATATTTGGCTGTAGAAGTTTCTATCAGTTGAGGAGGAGTAGTGTTGCCAGAAGTTGCCAACGGTTAAAAGTAGGGGTGCAAGGAACACACAAACAATTTCAGCTAATTTCTGGTTTTACACAGAGCCAGACAGGGAAAACATGAATTATAACAAGCCAGTAAGGCTCCATATGATATTGTGGTAGATAATTTCAAATGTTCTTTACAGTAAAACACTTTCAGGTGTTACCTTACAGGTGAGCTGGGAACTGGAATACAACAAAATTGTGGATCCATTCAGTGTGCCCTGAGGACTGGTTTGAGAAACACTGGTCTAAAGTATACTTGAAGTATACCTGAAGTGTAGCCTAAAGTATTTAAAGTGTTTTGGGGGACTTTTCAAAATACTGTTCAAGTACTGTACTCTGTTCAAGTACTCTGTTCACGTTTCATTACAAAAAAAGAACTTGTTACTCCAAGCATTGCTGTTTGACATCAGAAAAAGAAACTTATTTATGCAAGTCTAATTCTTCTGAGCTTTCCAATGAGCTATAGTTGAGCCATGTAGCTGTAATAGTAAAAAAAAAAAAAGGTAAATGTAATTCACAGGGCAAAATTCAGCAAAACAAAACAACGGTGATGCAAAAATTTCTGGAAATTACTTGGAATAACATGGAATCTATGTAGATTTATCTATTAATGCAAATAATTGTTTAATATTAAAAAAAGAGTAGTTGATGTGTTCTGAAGTCTGTGACCACCTGTTGTTAGAATGTTAGAATGTTTTTTTCTTAAGAACATAAGAAATTTACAAACGAGAGGAGGCCATTCAGCCCATCAAGCTCATTTGGGGAGAACTTAATAGCTCAGAGTTGTTAAAATCTTATCTAGCTCTGATTTAAAGGAACCCAGGTTTTTAGCTTGCGCTGCACTAGTAGGAAGACTATTCCATACTCTAACTACACACTGTGTAAAGAAATGCTTCCTCAAATTCGTTTTAAAATGTTCTCCTGCTAATTTCCACTTATGGCCACAAGTTCTAGTATTTAAACTAATATTGAAATAGCTATTTGGCTGAACAGCATCCAGGCCTATTAGAATCTTATATACCTGGATCATGTCCGCCCTTAGTCTCCTTTGCTCGAGGCTAAACAGATTCAGCTCAGCTAACCTCTCCTCATAAGACATTCCTCTAAGACAAGGAATCATTCTTACAGTCCTATGTTGAAACCTTTCAAAGGCAGCAATGTCTTTTTATGGCAAGGCGACCAAACCTGCACAAAATATTCTAGGTGGGGTCTTACCAAGGAATTGTATAATCGTAGCATCACTTCCCTTGACTTAAACTCCATACACCTAGAGATGTAACCCAACATCCTATTGGCCTTTTTTATTGCTTCCCCACACTGGCGAGAGTGAGACATGGAAGCATTAACATACACACCAAGATCTTTCTCGTAATCAGCTACCTTTATTTCAGTGGAACCCATAAAATATCTGTACTTTATATTTCTGCTCTCTGCATGGATTACCTTGCATTTATCTATGTTAAATTTCATCTGTCAGATATCAGCCCAGTCACTAATTAAATCCAGATCCCGTTGCAGCCTCTCTGCTGCTAGATCAGTATCTGCTACATCACCCACCTTGGTGTCGTCTGCAAATTTAACCAGTTTACTGTATGTATTGATGTCAATATCATTAATGTAAATTAGGAACAATAGTGGTCCTAAAATTGAACCCTGCGGTACCCCACTATGAACGCAGGCCCACTGTGACATTGTGCCTCTAATAACTACTCGCTGCTTCCCTTCAGTTAACCAGTTTTCGATCCAAGCTGCTACAGTTCCCAAAATCCCTGCAGCTTTGAGCTTTAGCAAGAGCCGTTTGTAGGGGGACAACATCAAAAGCCTTTTGGAAATCTAAGTAGATCATATCGTAGGCCTTTTTGTGATCAATTTCTCTTATAGCTTCCTCAATGAACTCTAGTAGATTCGTTAAACAGGATCTACAGTACCTCTCCTAAATCCATGTTGGCTATCCCTCAGAATGTTATTTGCATCCAGGTAATCTACCATTTTCACTTGGATTATAGCTTCCATTATTTTTCCAGTAATGCTAGTTAAACTGATTGGCCTATAGCTTGCTGGATTACGTCTATCCCCTTTTTTGAATATGGGTGTTATATTAGCATGCTTCCAATCAGAAGGTACCACACCCGCAGATAACGATATCTGGAATGTTAAAGTTAAAGGTTGGCTAATAATATCA